AATGGTTTGTATAATATATCTGCATTTTGAACCCAATTTTTGCAATGGGGCTTTATTGTTGAAGGAAAAAAATTGTATGTATTTATAAACATATGTGGGTATGTAAATATGAGCAATCAACGCACAGCTTAAATGGAAAGCGTTAAACAAGAAAGAACGCTACAAAAAAGGAAAAAAAAAAAATTAAAATTTAAAAAATTTAAAATTTAAAATTTAAAAAAAATGTAATTATTAAAAACAAGAAAGGAATGCTAAAGTCGAGCAGGCTCAACTCTTAAATACCCTGTACCACCCCATAAAAAAGTAATTAAATTAATTAATTAATTAAATTAAATTATTAACTAAATTAATTCAATTAATTAACTAAATTAATGTAATTAATTAACTAAATTAAATATAAAATATTCCATGCATGCATACATACATTTCCATTTACATCAGAATCGTGCCTTATGCGTGTTTGTGTACTTGTACATATGTATGTATGTGTGCATTGGGACTGGTTATATGGCTATAACTTTCTTTCCGTTCATTCTATCATAATGAAACTTGGTAACTGTGTGTTCCATGTGCACTCGCACAAAACTAATATACCCTTGTACCCTTTGGGTATAGGGTATAAAAATGAATGAATTAATTAATTAATTAAATTAAATAAGAATACGTTTATGTTCAGTTTTCACAGCATACATTTACATCACGTACCTATGTGTGTTTATATGCGTGTATGTATGCAGCACAAAGTTGAACCCAAGCAGCACCAACAACGTATGTATCAACGGCCTAGCAACTGGTCAACTAGCTCATATAACGAGGATACCGATGATTCCATTTGATCGTTTATATGGCTTCAATTTCCGATAGTCCCAAGGCCACGCCTTCGAATTAGTAGGGATCGACATACGAAAGCAATGTTTTACTGTATGCTGACCTATCACGGGTCGGAGCTACTGAAAATGATTTATTTTGCAACCACAAAATAAAACATCAAATATCTTTTACAGAGAACCTCTGATCTAATAAAGAATAAAAAAACAAGAGAGAACGCTACAGTCGAGCTAGCCCGACAGTAAAATAGCCTGTACTCTCCACTAAAAAGGAAAATTTAATACAAGAAATTTTTTTTTTTTAATTAAATTATTAAAAAAAATTGAAATGAAAAAATGAATACTAGGGAAAATTATTTAATACATACATAGAAGACATGTTTATGTTCAGTTTTAACAGCATACATTTACATCACATGCCTATGCAAGTTTATATGCGTGTATGTATGCAACACAAAGTTGAACCCAAGCAGCAACAACAACAATAGCTGCGGGCAGCTCTGCCCTGCCGTCATTTTAAAAAGAACAGTAGATAGGCAAGTAATAACAGAGGAAACTGCTGTAATTTTAAGTTTCGGCGAAAAAACGCGCTTAATTAGAGCAGACCCTAAATTTGCGGTAGGTATTTCGACTTTCGGTATCGGTCTGAGACTAGCAACGCAGAAGTGTACATAAAAACTTCACTTCCAGAGCATCGAGTTAGAATGCTCAAGTGTAGACAGCAGCTACAAAATTTGCCTCAGGGTTCCACTAACATTTTTGTCTAGTATACGGGAATGCAGCAGGATAGACGAAAGGTCATTAGAGTGAATAATAGGGGGCCAAGATAACTACCTTGAGGCACACCAGAAGTTACGAAAACAGGTTTAGAAATATTCGGCCTGAACAGTACCTTCTGCGTACGAGGAAATCCATTTCAAAAAGTTTGAGGGAAATCCCATACAAGTTAGCTTCAGAATCTAATGCTTAGCTGAAGTCAGTATATATAACATCAGCTTGAATCTTTGCTAAGAATGCATCATTAATGAAAGATGTAAAATCAAGCAAATTAGTCGTTGTTGACCGATTTTTAGAAAATCCATGCTGAGCAGGGGAGATAACAGACTTACAATGATCCTGTAAAGAGGGAGTAATTATTATTCAAATAATTTAGGAATGACAGACAGTTTAGCTATGCCTTTATAGTTGGAAATGTCTGACTTACAGCCCTTTTTGTGGAGTGGTATAATAAACGATTCTTTCCAAGAAGCAGGAAAGATTCCGTTCTCAAAGCACAGATTAAAAAGCCTAAGCACCGGTTTGCAGAGGACTACACTATTTAAGCACACAACTAAGAATGTTGTCAGGCCCAGGAGAGAATGAAGCTTTTACAGATTGTATATTATATAAAATACAAGAATCTGTAATTATTGGAGCAAATATTGAATTTGAAGGGAAAATGCGGAAGGGGTAAAAATTACCGTTAAAAGACACGGAGAAGTACGTCGACTGGAAAAAATTTGCATATAATTCATCCCTTACAGAATCATTACAAGAATTGTTATTCGCAAGGAAAAACAAGTTAAAAAGCTAAAGTCGGGTGTCCCGACATTGAAATACTCCGTACATATCTCTACAATATTTATAGAAAATAAAAAAATTAAGAAAATTAAAAACAAGTAAAAAAGCTAAAGTCGGGGGTCCTGACTTTGAAATACTTTGTACATATGTTTACAATAATTATAGAAAATAAAAAAAATTAAGAAAATTAAAAAAAAAAATTTGATCGATTTTACCTTTCTCGGTATTCGAACTCACGTAAAGGGTGTATAATTGCACATTTACATAGCAATTGCGTCTGTGTGAGTGTATTCGTGTCTGTGTAAACATATGTGTAGTCAACCAAAGCACCAGCATCAACAGTCGCGGACAGCGCTTGAGCAGCGCTGCAGCAGCAAATATATTTATGGCTATAACTTCTTGTTAAATCGGTCTATCATAGTGAAACTTGGCATACGGACACATAAAAACTAACTGGGGGCATTTGCAAAATTTTAGTTCGAAATTCCAAGAATTACGGGAGTTGCGGAGGATTTGCGATTTGCGGTGGAGAGGGGGGAGGAAGGGAAATTCCAAGATTTACATACATTTTCTGCGTATTCACACAAGGCATCTTGGACTAAAATTTGGTGTACCTAGGTTTTATAGTCTCCGAGATATAGGTGATTATACGAATGGAAAATCGGGAACACTCCCATAGGGGGGAAGTGGGGGGAAAATCAAAAAAATAAAACAAACTCGTATAGAATACACACATAAGGCATCTTTGTGGAAAATTTTGTGTCTCTATCTCTTATAGTCTCTGAGATCCAGGTGTTCATACGGACGGACAGACGGACAGTCGGACAGACAGACAGACAGGGCTAGATCGACTCGTCTCGTCACGCTGATCAAGAATATATATACTTTGTGGGGTCTGCCACGCCTCCTTCTGCCTGTTACATTTTTCAGCGCCCGCAAACCTAATATACTTCTGTACATTTCATGTACAGAGTATAAAAACTCGAACTCACGTAAAGGGTGTATAATTGCACATATACAAAGCAATTGTTTGTTTTTTCTATTCTTTAATATATAATATAGAAAAAAGAGAGATACTTGTAGATAAATGAATAAACAAATGATAAGTATACACAGGTTGTGATCCGGGCGGTACGACTGCTGGGCATTGTTTCGCCCGGATTACAGCCTGCCTATACACCCCTTCTTTCGCGCTCCACTACTCTTCGTTGGCGAGCATGTTAGTTACTAGGTTCGTCGCCAGAGGAGGAGTGCCAGTTAATTCCTCCCAACTCCGCTTCTCCACTTCGAATCTGGGGCATTCGAAGATTACATGATGTGCGTCTTCAATAACTATCGAGCAGGTAGGGCATCGCTGTAGAGTCATGTCCAAAACGGTGGAGATAGCTTCTGAAGCAACCGTGGCCGCTTAACAGTTGCGTCAGATAGTTGCGTCTACATTCCCGTGTGTTCTGCTAGTTCACAGAGCAATATTTGGTATTAGCCTGTGAGTCCAGCGGCCATGTATGAGGTATTCCAGCGTTCCTGCCACGCATTCAATGATCTTTGCCTTGCCTCTGCCTGCACAGTTCTTCGAGGCTGACCGGAAGTGATGCCATGAAGGGCGCTTGCTTCAGTGACCAGAATGTCGATGGGGACCATCCCCACCACCATCCCCACCACCAGAACAGCCACTGCAGACGCGGAGTGCTCTGAGCCGGTACGTGGCTACGAGGTTCCGAACGTAGCTCTTCTTTTTTGCAGCGTCAGCCCATATTGGTGCCGCGTAGAGCATAATATATTTAGTCACGCTCGATAGAAGTAGTACGTCCTTGTCTTGGGCGCCGAGTGTTGACCATCATGCGTCCAAGTGCCCGCGTTGCCTCGCGACACAAACGATCGCTACATCGTCTGCATACCCCACTAGCTCCGTGCCAGGTGGGAGCTAAAAGCGTAGAATTCCGTCATACATGACGTTCCACAACAAGGGCCCCAGAACTGACCCTTGGGAAACGCCGGCAACAATGTTGTGACTTTTGAGTTTGAAATTCCAAGAATTACGGGAGTAACAATTTGCTGCAGATAGGGGAAAGAGATGACGACCCCAAAAAATACACATTTTCTGGCATCTGGGACTAAAATTTGGTGTTCCTAGGTCTTATAGTCTCTGAGATATAGGCGATTATACGAATGGAAAATCAGCAAAACCACCATAGGGGGGAAGTGGGGGTGGGAAATCAAAAAAATAAAACAAACTCGTAGAGCGTAAACACATAAGGCATCCATGTGCAAAATTTGGGGTCTCTATCTCTTATAGTCTCTGAGATCCAGGACGGACGGACAGACAGGGCTAGATCGACTCGGTTTGTCACGCTGATCAAGAAGTGGGGTCTGCCACGCCTCCTTCTGCCTGTTACATTTTTCAGCTCCCGCAAACCTAATATACTCTAGTACATTTCAAAGTCGAAGATTTCTCTTAGAATTTACGAAGTTATAGAACTTTTTAGAGTCATGTTTAAATTGTGAAGAACAAAAATTGTAAATTAATGTAGTTCACATTCTTGATGCCACCGCACATTAAAAAAATTATATTAAAATTAATTTGAAAGAAGAAAACGAAATAGTTTTACTTGCCTTTGAAAATTTCAAAAATGTTTGAAAATCATTGGATCTTTGTTTGAGAAATGTTTCAAGTGTTGATGATTCTGTGCATAATTTACATTGATCGTTACGAATTCTTGATCCAATAGTTGTTTCGTCAGGTGAAACACTGAAAGCAAAAAAGTATATTATTAGCAATATAAAATGAAATAAGTATTTAATTATAATATGTTACTACTTGCAGGTTCCTCGCCGACTACTGACCTTATTTTATACCCTGTTCCCGAAGCAGGAAGCAATTTTGTTTTAATTTACTTTTTTTTCAGAATTTGACGCGAAGAACCGATATCCTAAATTATGTTATTACTAGCAGGTCTTGCCCGTCTTTGCTGAGCTAAGTAAAATGTGCTTATAAATATAAAATAAAATAAATAGAAATATAAATAAAGTTTATTTACTATATGATATTCTTCTGTCGAGTTAAAGAGTTCATTTTCCAAATAGCAAATATAGTATAATAAGTAATATGTATGGTTATACGTACATCTATATATATAAAACAGTTTGTCCTGACTGACTGACTGACTGATTGGTGATCAACGCACAGCCCAAACGGTAAAGGCTAGGAAGTTGAAATTTGGACTCAAGTATCCTTAGTCTAGGTGCTCATAGTCTAAGTGCCCACTAAGAAGGGATTTTGGAAAACTCTAGCTCCAAAGGGGGGAAAACAGGCTCTAACGTTTGTATGAAAAATCTACAGTTTTCATCTGATTAACTTCAACTTAGTTAATATACTTAGTTTGTATACTCTCAGAACAATTCCAAAAAAACTGTATACTTGGTTTTTTGATATTTTTTGTTAAAGTCTAAAATATGGGAGTTTTCCTGTAAAAAAATGTTGGGGCACAAAAGCAAACCGCGTCAACAGCCCACACGGTAAAAGCTAGGATGCTGATGGGCTCAAGTATCCTATCATGGTGTAGGTGCGCACTAAGAAGGGATTTTGGAAAATTCCGAGCTACAATGGGGGGAAAACGAGCTCCAAAGTTTGTTAGTTCTTGGAATTTCAAAATAAAATTTGGTGAATACATCCCGTTAGTGATTATGTGTCTGTCTGCCAAGTTTAATCATGATAGGTCAATTCTGAAGAAAGTTATAACCATAAATAAAATCGCTGCCCATGCTCTGCTTGTAGCACTGCCCGCAGCGCTGCTAGCAGATGTTTTTGTTGTTGCTGCTGGGGTTCAACTTTGTGCTGCATACATACACGCAGATAGGTGACTCGCTGTCAACGACCCAAACGATCGTAATTGAGCTTGGTAACATCAGACTCAATATATGGTATAAGCGGCGCCGTACCCAGGAAGTGAGCGGGAGTCAGCACGTCAAGGTCTGGCAAACCAAGGTGCGCATCTCGTCGAAGTCGAGTATTGCAGGGGCAACAGCACGGTAAAAATGATGCTTTGCCGTCTTCACCGCCGCTTCCCAAAGTCAAAGTGTGGTGAACGAGGAGGTATAAATCGCCAGTCAATCGACTCTGCTAAGCAAAACTCTTGCACCGCCTGTACATGCTCAGCACTCAGGAACAGACGCTTTAACTCTGCCAATTCATTCGGGTCGACCATGCGTGGAGATAAAGCGTTTTAATTCGCCAAGAAAATCAGCTGTGGACAGGTCCTTGACGAGCTCTAGATGCACAGCCTTTGTCGCGGAGCATATGCAGACGCTGCTGTAGCATTTTATGGCTGGCCTGTTGCGAACCTCACTCCGGTAGAAAAATGGGCCGCAGTAGTCAACGCCAGTGACCATAAACGTATACGACGAATCCACTCGATCGCCAGGCAAGTCGGCCATCAGATGCTCAACCAAGCGCGGCTTGGCTCTGAAGCATACTGTGCACTTGCTGACAGCTGCTGAAACCGTCTTTCGGCCGCCTATGGGCCAGTATTGTAGACGAATTGAGGCCAACAACGCACGTGGCCCAGCATGTAAGCTGCGAATGTGGTGATGATAAATAAGCGCTCTTGTCTGGGTAAAATTGCTGGATGCTTGGCTGCGAAATCCAACGGAGAATTTTTCAGCCGTCCGCCTACGCGAAGCAATCCAACCTCATTAATAAATGGCGCGAGCGAGGCCAGGGAGGGTTTCACTCGCTGTCCCGCCCGTAGCGCCTTGTAGTCCTCGAAAACCGTTGATAGTTGAATAGAACGTAGCAGAATGTGAGTTCCATGATGTAGGCAAGCCAGTGTTAAGCCAGAGCACCGGATACGATGAATAAATTTGTAGACGAAACCAAAAACCCTTTGTAACTTGCAGAAAGAGTTTACGAACTTGCAGCCTGCCGAAACATCTGTGTAGGATGCCGCTCTAAGCAGCACTGTACAGACAAGCAGGATTCAGGTCATTTGCTTTTGCTTTCTGTAAGAAATTTGGGTACATGAGTCCACAACGAAGATGCCAAAAGTTCACCGGCAGAGGCCCTCTAGATAAAATGTCTGCCGGATTTCAATTCGTTGGCACGTATTTCCACTCCATTCCAGATGTCAGCTCCTGAAGGTCGAAAACTCGCTGCGAAGCCAAGATAATACGACGGATGAGTCAGACCAGCATTAGCATGGACCACAGAATATCTTCATCTTGGCCACTTCATGCATAAGCTGCGCCAGTAATGTAGCACCGCAGAGTTCCAACTTGGGTACTGTGGTCGTCTTTAAAGGTGCCACACGCGATTTAGCGTAAAGAAGTTGCACCGTCGTTTTTCCCTGAGCTGTAGAGACTATGTAGACGCACGCTCCATAAGCGCTCATACTGGCATCGCTGAAGCCATGGACTTCAATAGTTGCGTTAGGAATGAGCACCAGCCGTGGAAAAGTTAGCTTTGGCACACGTTCAAAATTTGAGCAGAAACCAATCCAAGTGGTTGCTAACGCCGCCGGAAGACTCTCATCCCACTCCAGCTTCGCCTTCCAGAGATCCTGCATAAAGATTTTAGATTTGGTTATTACAGGACAAGCCCAATGTTTTGGTGATGTCGCTACCATCATTAAATTTTAGCAGGGATTCCTTATCTGCATCAGAGACGCCTTGCAGTACTGCAGAGTTGCTTGAGCACCATTTCCGCAATTTGAAACTGCCCGTCGACAGAACACTAGTAGTCTGATGCATGATCTCCATCACCTTCGGAACTGAACTGCCTCCAGTAATGAGATAGAAATAGTAATCCACATAGAAATCACGCTGAAGAATTTCGGCACCAATGGGAAATGAGGCCTGCTCATCCATGGCCAATTGATGCATTGTACGTACCGCGAGAAACGAAGCAGGTTTTGTGCCGTATGTTACGGTATCCAACTTATAGACTTGCACTTCTTGGTGCGGTGTATCAGTGTCGAAAGTGTCGGGCTCTGCCACCCGTACACAGCGATACATCTTGCATACACCGCCTGTGAGTGCAATTGCAAACGAACGAAACCGTAGCAATGTGTTGAAGAGCTTGCTTTGAATGGTGGGACCTGCCATCAAAACTTCGTTCAATGCGTAGCCACAAGTTGTTGCCGCAGATCCATCAAACACAACTCTGAGCTTCGTAGTTGTACTATCCTCCTTTAAGACGCAATCATCATTGCATCGGTAGATAGTACTTGCTTTTATCGCTTGAGTCAGTGCTGACAAGAGACATGTGATTCAAATCCTCGTACTCTTTTATGAAGGCCGAGTACTGAACCTTTAAATTGGGGCTGCGCTCCAATTTTCTTAAATTAAATTAAATTTTAGCAGCGATTCCTTATCTGCATCAGAGACGCCTTGCAGTACTGCAGAGTTGCTTGAGCACCATTTCCGCAATTTGAAACTGCCAGTCGACAGAACACTAGTAGTCTGATGCATGATCTCCATCACCTTCGGAACTGAACTGCCTCCAGTAATGAGATAGAAATAGTAATCCACATAGAAATCACGCTGAAGAATTTCGGCACCAATGGGAAATGAGGCCTGCTCATCCATGGCCAATTGATGCATTGTACGTACCGCGAGAAACGAAGCAGGTTTTGTGCCGTATGTTACGGTATCCAACTTATAGACTTGCACTTCTTGGTGCGGTGTATCAGTGTCGAAAGTGTCGGGCTCTGCCACCCGTACACAGCGATACATCTTGCATACACCGCCTGTGAGTGCAATTGCAAACGAACGAAACCGTAGCAATGTGTTGAAGAGCTTGCTTTGAATGGTGGGACCTTCCATCAAAACTTCGTTCAATGCGTAGCCACAAGTTGTTGCCGCAGATCCATCAAACACAAATCTGAGCTTCGTAGTTGTACTATCCTCCTTTAAGACGCAATCATCATTGCATCGGTAGATAGTACTTGCTTTTATCGCTTGAGTCAGTGCTGACAAGAGACATGTGATTCAAATCCTCGTAATCTTTTATGAAGGCCGAGTACTGAACCTTTAAATTGGGGCTGCGCTCCAATTTTCTCTCCAAATTTAGAAAACGGCGGCGTGCCTGCTGGTACGAGTCGCCTAGCAACTCGACGCTGTATTTCGGAGGCAGCCGCACAGAATACTCGCCAGGAGATTAGTAGCCTTACACATTTCCAACAATTTCACGCCTTTTGGGTCCTTCGTCCTTCGCTTTTCTGGTCATACCGTCGTGTTTACTTTGCGGGGCATAAGATTAGGTAATGGCTTGCTCGGGACCTATTCGGGCATTGAAGTCTCCAAGCAGCATTATGTTATGATAGTTAAGTGCCATCAGGAAATCAAAAAGCTCTTCGAAGACGCCTAACCATTTATTGCAAAGGGAACTATTACGAAACTTTCGGTGTTGACGATTAGTTCAATGACAGTTCTATTGTTTATAGTTTTAAAAGTGCATTTGTATTGGCTTAGGACGTTTTTCTTCACTGCGAATAGGTAGCCTCCGCTTGCTCGTCCTTTTTGTAATATTCGAGTGGCCGGGGCCAGTGTAGGTTGAAATCGGGGAAATAGTTGGTATATACGTCTTCATCTTTTGCAATGAAAGTTTCGAATAAGAGTGCTGTTTGGTCAAGCAGCAGGCGCAGGCAGCGCAGTCGTCCGCAGCAGACGCATAATTAATCATATATACAAATTGTACCTTGCTCTGTGAAGCAAGAAGCGCTAAACGTTTAATAACTCTTATAATGTTTGTTT